GGAGGAGGTGGGGGTGAAAGCAGGCCATGGCCCTGGCTGCCCACTCCATTCTGGGAGCCACCTCCACAGTCCCTCTCACCTCAGCTCTGGGGCTGCCCCCGCCTCGGTCGGGGGGACCTGCACCGTGTAGTCCAGGGTCACCATGTGTGCCTTGTTGTTCACCAGCAGCACCGAGGTGGTGATGTCCTTGGTCAAGTCACTCTGGGGACCACAGGAGGATGTCCGTGTCCTGCAGGGATGTGGCGGCCCCCAGCCTGGGCACAGCCCTTCTCCCTGCCCCACCTGGCCCCCTGCGGGTCAAGGGGCTGGGGCAGAGGGGAGTGGGATGGGGCAGGGTCCACCAGCCACCCACCTTGTAGTAGATGTTCTTGCCAGGTGGCGCACAGCCCGTGGCCAGGATGTGATCATAGTTGCGGTGGTCGATGACCAGGACACCCCCGGGCCGCACCATACTGGCAATGTTCCTCAGGGCCAGCTTGTGGTCACTCTGGTCCCCTGGGGAGGAAACCATGGTGTCCCCAGGCACCAGCTGTACCCCCTGGGACCCCATCTCACCCATATACACAGAGCTCCCCCTCCCCAGTCTCAGCTTGGAGGACCCACAGCCCCACCCGTGGTATGAGCTCAGGCACGTTCTCAGCCCCACGGGCAGAGCATGCCACGTGGGGAACCTACAGCACTGCTTCTGGTACAAGTGTGTGTGTGTGCTTCCAGCCTTGCCAGAGAGGTGACACAGAGGCACTCAGCTCCACCACCACAGCCCCACTCATGCCATGAACTGAGGCACGTTCTCAGCCTCCCTGGAGACGTGCCATGACACAGCAACTGCAGCGTGCATAATCAACTGCCCCACTTACAGCATGAGTTAGGGCACGTTCTCAGCCTGCTGGGAGACATTGTGCACACACGCATAGGTACTCCTCTCCCCACTTCTTTCCCCCACCCCAACTCACCTTTGAAGTCAGGCAGGTGCGCAAAGGAGTTGCCCAGGCAGATGACCCCATCCCCTGGCTTCTCCAGGTCCTTCTCCAGCGTGAGCCAGTTGGCCTCCTCGATGACTGCAGTACAGGGGAGCGGATGAGGGCAGGGACACCCCACCTGCCCAACAGTCTCCCCTGCATGCAAACGCCCAACCCCCAGCATCACCCAGCCCTTCCCTGGCCTCCTGCAGGTGCTGGACTCGGCCTGGGGCCATCAGCCAGGCGAGGACCACAGCCCAGGCTTGCCCAGAGCCAGCAGGTCCCTGCCCATCCCAGCAGCAAGACTGCCTCACCACCGGCACCCACGCGAGGGGCCAGAACAGCATGCGAGGGCCCTGGCACACCATGGAGGGGGGTTCAGGGCAGAGGA